ACACCTACTTCATTAATATTTTGCAAGTAGCATTGTTACAGGGCAAGGTGAGGGGCATCCTGGTTTCCCCAAATCTGCCTGCTCTAAAGAGGTTCTGCCATTCTGTGCATCAAGACAGAACGTACTCTAGTACGTAAGACTTTTAATGGAAAGGAACTTTAATACAATTAGTGTGCAATAAAGAGAAGGAAAAGAATATAGTCTTCAAATAAAGCACCCAAAGTTACCCATGCCTTTGTCCAGCCAAAGCAGGACCGCTGAGACCCATAAGCCTGTCACAAGTCTAAGGCACCTCCTGGTGGGGACCCATAGGAAAGAGACAGAAGACATCAGACAAGTCTAGAAGAAAAAGAACAAATTCAAAATGAAGATAAATGCTGCCATTGTTAGCCTCCCTATGGATCTCTCACCCATGTCTGTTTTAAGTGTTTCTGTTCCCTGTTTCCCAAGTCTCTGATACAAGTCCAAGGCCAAGAAGCAAGCACAGGTTCTTCACATGTCTTTCTGCTCCATGTGCCTCTGCGGGGTCTCCTTTTCACTCCCTGTCCTTCTATGCTCCCTTCCCCAGTGTCCTCTCCAGCTTCTCCTTCTTCCTGCTCAGCAACAACTTCCCCTTGGGTGGGCAGGAAACCTGAAACCTTGCCTTTTCCTGGGGACCACCCTGATATACCATAGATCATAAATAGTTATTAACATGTATTTTGGATTGCTAAGTAAATTATAACGTTGACCATAAACAAGACTATGGTCAAAAAACAAAGTATTAGAGTCTGTAGATATTATTTTGTAATAATTCAAACTTTGTGAAATATTTCAAGTAAGATTTATTTCAAATATATATTTTCATGGTATTTTTCTGATTTGGATATTGTATTACCACTTGATAAGACAATGTCATTTTCCTTAGGAAGTACACTGCCAAGTGTGCACGAGCAGGGACTTTATGCTTGGAACTTGAAGTGATTCACAAATCACACACACACACAAACAAATAAAAAAAAACATAAATGTGCATTCTATATATAAATATTTATTTTATAAAGACATAGGTATACACACATGGAGAAAGCAAGAGAATTAGAATAAAATAAAAAAAAATGGAAATTCTCTGTGAAGAGAATATTAGTATACCTTATTCCTACAGGTTTTCTGTAAGGCTGAAATTATTTCCAAATAATAAAAACATATATCTACATTGATGGTGAAATAGAAACTCTTATAATCCTTTAAAAGAGATTTTTTTAAATAAATAAATCTCTTTTTTTTAAGATTTATTTATTTATTTATTCAAGCACTGGGTACAGTCAGAAGCATGGGAGGGTGAGAGAATTCACCAGAGCCAGAGCGGGGAACAGAACAGGCAGACTGATAAAATACACTACTGAGGGGAGCAGCGGGCCCAGCAGGAGAGGTCTGTCGCTCCATATGGGACCCTCACTGGCTGGCCAGGGATCAAACCTGTGCTGCAGAGGCTGCGGGCAGCTTCGCAGCCCAGCGCTCAACGGCTGCTTCACCAGGGGAGGCCCTAAAAGAGATTTTTTTATAACATAAAATAAAAGCCTTGAAACAATCATTATTTGAATTATTAATTCCACATCTATAAATATAGATTAAGGAAATAATCATTTTTATGTGCAAAGATATACTGTAAGAGTTTTCATCACTGAATTTATTATAGCAAAGATATTTTATAGCAAGATATTTGCAATCTCATACATATACAAAAGAAGATTGACTTTCTAATTAGAATGTATGTTTGTATTATGTAGTCTTTAAAATTTATGTTCCATGTAAAAAATATTATTTTGGAAAATGTTCCATTATTATAAATGAAAACAATTTAGTTATAAATCAATATATGTTATAAAGCCTTTTTTTAAAAGATTTATTTATGCATACAAGAACTGGGGTACAGGCCAGAGGTGTGGAGGATGAGAGGATTCACCGGAGACTGAGTGGGGAGCAGAACAGGCAGATTGACTGAAATACACTGTGAGGGGAGCAGCAGGCGAGACAGGAGAGGTCTGATGAGCCATGTGGGTCACCTCCCTGGCTGGCTGGGGATTGAAATTGTGCTGTAGAAGCTGTGGATAGCTTCATAGCACTGTGCTTAACACCTTGCACCACCAGGGTGGCCCAAGGCCTTTTTTGTTGTGGTAAAATACATGTAACAGAACTTATCATCTTAATTGTTTTTTAAGTATACAGTTCAGTTGTATAAACTGCAAAAATCATAATGTGCAAAAATCACAACCATCTATCTCATTTGCTCTTTTCATCTTGTATAAATTTAACTCTGCACCCATTAAGGATTTCCTTTCCATTTCCCTCTCCCTAGTTCCTGGAATCTAACATTCAACATTTAGTCTTTAGGTTTGGCTACACTAAGTATTACAGGGCAGGGTGAGGGGAACCCCAGAATCTCCAAATCTGTGCACTCTAAATAGGTTCTGCCATTCACTGCATGGAGACAAAACATATTCTAGTGCAGAAGATCTTTAATGGAAAGGAACTTTAATACAATTACTGTGCAACAAAGACAAGGAATTTAGTTTCCAAATCTAGTATCTGAAGTTCCCCATGCCCTCCTGGGTAAATGCCCAGCCAAGCAGAGTTGGCCCAAAGCAGGGCCACTGAGGCCCGAGAGCCTGCCACAAGTCTAGGGCACCTTCTGGTGGGGACCCCTAGGAAAGGGTCAGAAACAGCCAGACAAGTCTGGGAGAAAAGGAGCCAAATCAAAATGAAGATAAAAGCTGCCATTGTTAACCAGCCCACAGATCTCTCATCCACATCTGTTTCAATCAGTCCAAGACCAAAATACAAGTGCTACTTTTTCACGTCTCTCTGCTCCATGTGCCTCCTCTAGGTCTCCTGACTCTCCATCGTTCTTCCTACCCCAGGCTCTTCTTAGCTCCTTTCCCTGCTCAACTACATCCTCCCTTGGGTGGGGCAAGAAATCTGAAACCTCCCCTTTCCCTCGGGACCTCTTGTTACATAAGCATCTCTTATAAATGTAATTATTCAGTGTTTGTTTGCCTTTCTGTTCCTAGCTTATTTCATTTAACATCATGTCTTCAAGATTGATCCATGTTGATCATATTGATATGTACAGTTTCCTTCCTTTCCAATGGTAAAATAGTACACCACATTTTATTTATGCATTTATTGCTGCTAGACATTGGGATTGCTCCCATTTTTAGGCTGTTAGCAATGCTGCTGAGGAGATGGTGAATATAATGCTTTTCATGTGAAATATTTTCTGTTCATTGAAATGAAACTACAAAGGCATACAATAAAATGTTACTAGTCGTTTTCCTAAATAGTGATGTAGTGATAATTTAGTTACGTTTTATTAGTTAGTTCATGCTTTTCAGTTTTTCTTAATGGAACATATGCTAATTTTGAGTGAAAAAAGTTACATTTAGTGTGATAGCTTTCTAGTCAAAATATTTTAGGTAGTCAGAAAGTTAAAATCACACAACACAATTTGGAAAACCTCTTGGCCATAATAACCTAAGTCATAAATTGAAATAATTACCTTCAAAATTCAATAAAGTAATCACTCTCTCAGGGAAATATCATACCCTTTATAAAAATGGTGCTGACACTGTTAGTATGTGTGACTGATTTTGGTTAGTTTTCTCAAAATATGTTCCAGAGACCACCAGATATTGTAAATCACCTGGAATGACTGTAAATAAAATATTTTAAATAAAAGTCTCTGTAGTTAAAGTCAGTAAATATGCCTTTTTATAAATCTCTCTAAGTTGTTCTTACTTAAAGTCATGCTATAATTAAATTGATGCAGCAAGGACTGGAGGTAAAACAAAGTGAACAGGGCATCCCCGGTGGCGCAGCGGTTGAGTGCTGGGCTGAGAAGCTGCCCGCAGTCTCTGCAGCACTGGTTCAATCCCCAGCCATTGGCGAGGGTCCCGCATGGTGCGCAGACCTCTCCTGCCGGCACTGCTCCCCTCAGCAGTGTATTTTGGTCCTCCTGCCTGTTCTGCTTCCAGCTCTGGCTCTGGTGATTTTTCTCACCCTCCTGCACTTCTGACTGTACCCAGTGCTTGTATAAATAAATAAATAAATCTTTAAAAAAAAAAAACCAAAAAACAGTGAACAGTATTTAATAATCTGCTCTATAAAGGAATCACAATTCTTAGCTAGAACGTAACCATTATTTTAAAATATGCATTTTTTGGGCCTCCCTGGTGGCACAAGGGGGTAAGTACCACACTATCAAGCAATCCGTAGCCTCTACAGCAACAGTTCGATCCCCGGCTGGCCAGTGAACAACCCACATGGTGAAGCAGACCTCTCCTGTCTCGCCCACTGTTCCCCTCAGCAGTGTATTTCAGTCAATCTGCCTGTTGTACTCCCCACTCTGTCTCTGGTGAATCCTCTCACCCTCCTGCATCTCTGGCCTGTACCCAGCTCTTGTATGCATAAGTAAATAAAAATATGCATTTCTAAAAAAATTAAGCTATATGTTTTGAAGGGCTTCTTTGTTTAAAGTGATGCACTCCTTTATTTTCTATGTTTGACAGCCTTTTAAGACGTTTTTTTCCTTTGCCTCATCATTAGATGGCTTTGTGTTTTATATAGACGAATGTAGATTAGTTTTATATTGAATTCATGATACAGAATGCCCCAGAAACAACAGGAGAAAAAGCCTATAAATAAAGATACTAAGGATAAACTACCTACTAAGAAAGATAAGCTATCTACTTATATGTTGGGAGCCTTGGTCAATTTACATTTGTGTATATTCTGTGTGTCTATCATATATTAGTCTTATTCCTTCCAGAAGTAACAGTTTGAAGAATTTCTTCTAGAAATGCTTGCTCTGTAAATGAGTGCCTAAAACAATGATGATTTGGGATCTCTCACAATTTGCATATGGAGCTTATTAACAAGCACTTTTAGGATAGGATTGCTTCCTAATTTTTAAGTGAAAAAATACTCTCTATATTATAGTTTTCTTTATTTTTTAATTTCAGATTTTGTTGATGGACCTATACACCACAAGGCCTTACTTATATCAGTGACTGTCTGTAGTTTGCTATTGGTTCTTATCATTTTATTCTGTTACTTCAGGTAAGTTGCAAACATGTAGATGTAAAGTGTTAAGTTTATGATAACTTCTTAATTCAACTATTCTACCTGCTGACATTTTCCACCACAGCTTTCTTTGACCTAATTAGAATCTTTGATTTCAATGATAATACCAATTGCTATTTATATGCATTTGTTCTAATGAAGTTATGTATAGATACCTACTTCATTTAGCTACAGATATCAAAATCACCCAAATAAGTTCCATCCTAAAAAAATGAGGGCAATTGGAGAATTCAGGAACTCAGTTGCTCCTGAGGTTTGATTCATGCCTGAGAAATGACTGTGTAAAACTTAGAATCTCTTTATAATTCCTTTTTTCATGAGCTTAGAATTTCCCCTATGTATTGAAAGATTGTATGTATTGAAAGATTGTATTGAAAGATTGTAAAGATTTTTTATAGATTAATTAGCAAGATAAAATAAGTTCTTACTATATTAAATGAAGGTAGTTATAAAATTATTTTTAATCATTTAAAAATTTCCTAGTTTGTAAAATATAAATTCTTACCATTTGCCTTTTGTGATACTATTTATGACATTCTTCTGCAAATGGAAGATGATTGAAATAAATCATGCATTTCTAGTTTGAGGCTATTAGTCTACAAAAACCATTTAAAATTAAGATCGAGGGCCTCCCTGGTGGCGCAGCGGTTGAGCGCTGGGTTGCGAAGCTGTCCACAGCCTCTGCAGCGCCAGTTCGATCCCTGGCTGCTCCCCGGCCACAGGAGGAGGGTCCCACATGACGTGCAGACCTCTCCTGCTGCCTGCTGCTCCCCTCAGCAGTGAACTTTGGTCCTTCTGCCTTCTCTGCTTCCTGCTCTGGCTCTGGTGAATTCTCTCACCCTCCCGCGCTTCTGACTGTATCCAGTGCTTGTATAAATAAATAAATAAATCTTAAAAAAAAAAAAAAAGAACGATGATGTAAAAAATTAAAAAAAATATATATAAAAGAAAGGAATAGAGAAGAAAAATGGTAAATGGTTCGGACTATATAAAAACTCATAATTTACTTTGAAAAATAGGTAAGCAAAATAATTATGATTTGTATGTTGGAAATTATAACTAAGCACGATGAATGCTAGACATTTAGCTTACATTGTATTTATGTGCTAAAATAAAATCTGGTGTGATTACTGTTTTCTCTGCTGTTTTTCCCTACTCATTTTAATTCAGTGTCTAAAATGATCTTTATGCATCTTTAGGTATAAAAGACAAGAAACCAGACCTCGTTACAGCATTGGGTTAGAACAGGATGAAACATACATCCCTCCTGGAGAGTCCCTGAGAGACTTGATTGAGCAATCCCAAAGCTCAGGAAGTGGATCAGGCCTCCCTCTGCTGGTATGAGAAAAACATCTTTTGAATTGAAAGGAGGTATCTTCTGAGATAAATTGTCAATAAATACAGGTTTCATTTTACTGCGGTGGACAGCGAACAAAGAGAAAGTGCTGTGCAGTACAGTCAGATAGTAGATCTCAGATAAAGGATTCTGATAACATTTTGACATGTTGGGATAAGCTGATTGTTTTCTAATGTTTAAGTATATGGTTACAATGCAGACCCTCAGATGTTCTGGTAAAATCACATTACAAAACTTTAAACAGGGTAGCTTCCCCCTGTTTTCAGTAAGGATAGTATTACTGCATTTTCATATTACTTTTGAAGACAAAGTATTACAACCAGTGAAGATCTGAATCCTTCTACAGGAAAGGAGACTTCTTTTCAAATGGATGGTGTGTATTTCAGGGTGAAAGGACATCCTGAATTTCCATTCAGGAGATGTTTCATTTTCTGATGGTCAGCACTCCCAAACCTGAAAAAAAATACATACTGACTCCAAGACACTTGCTTAGTGAAAAAAGTGTTTGCTCTTTTATGGACCATGCAGAAAGATTGTTGGATCTGAGATGAAAGCAGCAATTTTAATAAGAACTATTTTCCTTAGTAGTATCTTCAATTGATTTTCCTAATTTTGTAGTCTTTGATATCTTGTTTGCTTATTTCCTTTAGTTACATTCTACTTAGTACTGAAAAGTAACATTTTTCTTGAATCTCAAGACATGAATTCATTTTATAACATTTTTAATTGATAAAAACTAGTATATGTCTAAAATATACAAATTAAAGAGTTTAGAAATTATGTATGTATCTATGAAACCATCACCACAGTCTATGCCACGTCCATGCCCATTACCCCCCAAAGTTCCTTTTGTCCTCTTTAGCTAGCTATTACTGTATTTTAACAATAAGAACACTGAACATGAGATCTGATCTAAGGGAATTTTCAAGAATAAAATATGCTTTTGTTCAACTGTAGGCACTGTGCTGTACAGTAGATATCTTGGAGTTATTTGTCTTGCATAAATGGAACTTTGTGCTCTTTGGCTGATACCTCCCTTGAGGTCATAGACCAGACAGTAAACAATTTGTGACATCATCCCTGCCAAAGCTCTGCTATTTAGGATTATTTTTAATGTATTAAATTCTTACTAGCAAATTACTTGATTATTTATTCTTATAATTTAATTAATAAGTAGCAACTACAACTTTCATGTTTAAAAAGCTGTACTGTTACACTTTTTTAAAAAAGCAAAGTACAAATATTAAAATCCCCTTGGTATTAAGTCAGATGCCTGTGCTCTTGGAATTGGCACCTCTGTTTTTTCCTCTTTCTAACCCACATCTATCATAACTGAGGACTGTCTCTCTAAAATATTTGACCTTACTGTGTTACCTCCCTGGATAGGCCATTGCAGTGTTCCTTACTATTCATGGATCTTTTCTTAGTGGCTGTGCACACATCTAAGTGCAGTCTTCCTGCCCAGCTTTCCTCTCCCCACCTGCTTCCTGAGCATCAGCCTTGAGAAATTGTTTCAGAAATATGAGTGACTGCACACTATATTTTAGTGAATGCAATGGCTTTCTGGAGAGTGCCTCACACTTAGGGCTCATGGCCTGTTATCACACACTTTCTATCCATGACAGTTTACCTCAGACTAAGCCTATCTGTCTTTTGTTTGTAACTTTTGCTTATAGTACCAATGTAGCAGTTTAAATTATAGCATTATAATTGGTTGTAGTGTATCTGTGTCTACATTGAGGTGGACTCACCTCCTTCAGAGTGGAACTACATGCATTCCTGGTAGGGTACCTGAATGACTCCAGGGATTGTTCAATAATTTGTTTCAATTACAACTTTTAATATCTATAAAATTACTATTATTTCTATATTAGGTAATATAGAGGCCAAAATAAAAATAGCCATCAGCTTATACCATCTAATGATGTAGAGCAGCCAGATTCCAGATTCCTATCCTGGCCAAACAATGGTCTTAACAATATGATCTCATTTCATGCTCATTGCAATGCTGTGAGGTGGGACTGGAACTGTATGCCTGTATATCAGAGGACCTGGACGCAGCAGGCGAACTAGCTGGTGTACTAATAAGCCAGAATTCAGTGCAGATGCTCTGCCTTAGATTTTGTGCCACAGCATTTATGAAATGTTAACTAAGTGGTAATTAAATAAAACAAAGAAATGTGTTTCATAGGGGCTACATGGGAAGAAGGATTATATAAAACACTAAACAAAAAGTTACAGTATTATAGATTTCAGATCTTGTTTTAAGATTTGATTTTTAGGGCTTCCCCTGGTGGTGCAGGCAGTTGAGCAAAGTGCTCTAAAGCTGTCCGCATGCAGCCTCTGCAGCAGCAGTTTAATCTGGGCCGGCTGGCGAGAATCCCACATGGCAGGGCAGACCTCTCCTGTCTCGCCCGCTGCTCCCCTCAGTAGTGTATTTCAGTCAGTCTGCCTGTTCTGTTCCCCGCTTTGTCTCTGGTGAATCCTCTCACCCTCCCACACATCTGGTCTGTACCCTAGTTCTTGTATGCATGAATAAATAAATCTTTAAAAAAATTTTTTTTAAAATTTGATTTTTAAGTTTAAAATGCAGAAGTATGTGATATTTTCTCCAAATATTATCTATCCTGCCTTAATACTGATTTGTTATTTATTTCATTAACATCAGGGAAAAATTCATGTCGTGTGTGTATGTGTGTGTGTGTGTGTGAGAGCATACACATACTTGGACCTCCTGTTTACTAAGTGACTTTAAATATAAATTCTTCAAGGAAGGACTATCATAGGATGGTGGTAAAAATTAAGATAGTGTGTGTCTTCTTTTATATTTTATATATACATATATATCTTATAAACAGGTTTATATAGCTAAATATTAATAGATATCTATATATATATGAACAATATATGGCATATTTATTTATACTCTATTTACCTAACCTTGAAAAAGGAGCAAAAGATCACATAAAAGATCTTGTGAATATTCTTATTTAACATTAAACCACTCAAGTGAGGAATCATATGAAAAATCTTTCCAGTGTACTAGTAACTCAACCTATTAAGCAAATTATTTTAAATAGCATATTTGCATGTCTGTGTGTGTGTGTGTAGGGGGGCTGATTTAGGGACACAGAGAAAGGGCAGCACATTTTTCACCGCTGCATGTTTTCCTATATCCATATATATACCTGGACCCACATTAGAGACTGGTGGATATATGATTACTAGATAAGATGGCATTTCTTGAATAACAGTAACTCCTTATAAATCCTTATACCTGCAGTTATACCCAGTTTACATGAAATGATTCTTTTCCTTTTGGAATCACAGTTACAGTGATTGTATCTTAGAGGCATTTCATTTATACATTCAAACTTTCAAAAGAGTTATAAAAGAATAAAATATAGCGTGAATGTTTAGGCATGATAGAAAGACCAGAAACATTTGCTAATTCAAGTAAAATTCAAGTCACATAGTTTTAAAACACTTGAGGTTATGTTTTCAGGTCTTTAGATGTTAGAATAAATCTCAAAATAGGCATATATTTTAAATTTCTAACTATAATTTAGGGACACTTTATCTTTGAGATAAGTTTTTCTTCTGTTGAGTATTGTCAATACCCTCAGGATTTTAATCAACTTATAAGAAGATATATTATCATTAGAAAAGAAGTTGATGCAAAGCTGTTTATATTAGGAAATGTTCCATAGATTTACACAACCAATGCTTTGCAGCATCTGTAAATAAATATACATTTTTAAAAATAAATATAGAGGGAGGGAGGGGAAAAATAGAGAACAGGGGTGAGGAGAGCAGGGTGTGATGTGGTGGAAGACTGTGGGCACAATGGCTGTGGGAAAACCGTGGTGACTGTACCTGAGGGGAGAAATCCTTATGCTGTGAAAAAATAATATATTTTAAAATATGTGTTATTAGAAAATAGAAATATTGGTGGAAATGTGATAAATTGGGATCTTTTACCTTAAGAAGACTGGAAATGTATGAAGCACAACCCAGGAGTTCAAAGGTGAATAATTTCGACTGAACTGAATAAAGTCAAGTATGGACAAAATAAAAATATAAATAAATAAATAAATAAATATGGGAAGCTTACTCTCAAGTTATTAAGTTAACTCCTTGGAGATTTGGCTCTCAAATGCTTGGTAGTCTTGATGGTTCTGTTCCCTCACTGGGGAATGGAAATGGACAGACATTTCCTTCTTTAACATGTTTGGTTCCTGTGGGGAGGCGGGAGGCAGGCTCATTGTACTTGCACTTGCTTCCTAATTCCTGTGGGCTGAGTGGCTTGATGGTCTGTCAGAGTGTTTTTATTTTTCAATACTTGCTTTAGAAAATTAAAAAAAAAAAAAAACAGAAGTTTATCTTTCTCCCAAAGCTTTCAATCTGGTAATAGTGCCATTCATGGACCAACAATGTATAGTATTGTCTTTTTAATGTCTGTAATCATCCATTATACAAAATCAGACTCCATCTTAGCTGGTAGACATATGTTGCAGGCAGAATATTGGCACCCACAAATCCTAATACCTAGAGTCTGTGTTGACAAAGGGAATTAAGGTTGTCAATCAGCTGACTTTGAGATAAGATACAAAAATGAAACAATTGAAGTTTACTTGATGCAAAGCATGTCTGCAAATAGTCTGTTCCAGTTTTCTGATAAACTTTGTATTTGTGGTAGGGTCTGTGTATATGTCTCCCAAACTCTGTAAATAGTCATTGATCTTTAGCCTTTTCAGTAAAAAGTCCTTAAAATATTTTATTATAAGCACAAATAGTGTGAAAATAACTTCAAAGATGTGTAAACTCTATGCGATTTAATTCTCATGTTTTCTTTCTCTAACTGTTCAGTGTTTTCTTAGCTTAGCTTTCTCTTCAGTTCTTAGCTGTTTCATCTTTCTACTACTTTCTATGTTTCATGGTGACAATTAACTTTTTCACTTCAGAATATAATTTTCAATATTTTCCGTATGATTGTTTATTTTTCATCCTATTGTTGTTTCTTTTCATATTTCCTGTAGTGTTTCCGAGCATTTTCTCTCTGAAAATCCTGATGTCTGTAATATGAATGTTAAGTCTCTTTGGATTGTTTCTACTAACTCTCACTTCTAGTGACTTTCTTTTCCTCTTAAGGGATTTATTCTCTGGTATCCTTATTCCTGTCTCCCTCTGTTTTCTTTCTCTCCTTTTTCTCTCCATCCCCCACCTGGGGATTTCCTTTATTTCCTTGTGTGCCCAACAATGCATTATTTATTTTTTTTTATTTCTTATATTCTTACTCATGATTAAGCTGTATAATTTTAAGAGTTTCCCCACAGTATCTAAAATCTCACCATAGTGGTGGAAAGAAAAGTATTCTGCAAATAATAATCCTCCAGAGAAAAATGTGATTCATTGTAGCTGGGAGCTGAGGTATGCTCCCTTCTCAGTGCAAACTTAGTATCCTGTTGCTATGTACACTAATAGTCTCAGCTTAATGCTGAAGTTCTAGATTCAGTTTCTCCAGCATTGGCAGTCAGTGTTTAGATTCTGGATATCAGTGTTGGTGTTATTCTTTGCTCAGATAGCAAGCTGACTTGCTCTCTGATGACTTTATCATTGCTTGCTGTGGTTTCAACTCTCCCCTCCCTCCTTTTCTGCTCTCCCTCTTTTCCTTTGCCCTTTCTTTCTTTTTTTTCTTCCCTCCTTACCCCCTTTCTTCCTCCTTCCCTGCCTTTCCTTTCTTAAGCATGAATAAATAAATCTAATATATATATAAAAAAAAGAACCGGGGTACAGGCCAGATGCACAGGAGGGTGAGAGGATTCACTAGCGACAGAGTGGGGAACAGAGCATGCAGACTGACTGAAATACACTGCTGAGGGGAACAGTGGTCAAGACAGGAGAGGTCTGCCGCACCATGTGGGATTCTCGCCGCAGGCTGGGATAGAACACGTGCGCTGCAGAGGCTGCGGACAGCATCACAGCGCTGCGTTCAACCGCCTGTGCCACCAGGGGACGCCCTGGAGATTATCTTTATTTCTTTGTGTACCCCGCAATACCTTTTTTGTTTCTATAATCACTTGTATACTGCAGAAGTCCTTTCATACCATCCGGTATCACACTGCAATAGTGGAAGTTAAAAGTGTTCTGCTGATTACTGTGATTCCACTCATCATTTTTTTTTTCTTGCTATGAAAATGATAATGTGTAGAATGAAATACTTAATAATGTACAATATTTCAAACATTCATAATCCACAGTTAATCTCAAATACATTTAAAAGAAGACACCATAAATTAATAAAGTTATTGCCTATATATGGAAAAACTACTGGCAAGATGTATTTTACATGCAGTAATTGTTTCTCCTCTGGTGGAAAAAAGATGAAACAAATCTGTAACCTGTGAATATACTAACAGTGTGGTTTGGGATTTAATAGGTCCAAAGGACTATAGCTAAGCAGATTCAGATGGTGAAACAGATTGGTAAAGGTCGTTATGGGGAAGTTTGGATGGGAAAGTGGCGTGGCGAAAAGGTAGCTGTGAAAGTGTTCTTCACCACAGAGGAAGCCAGCTGGTTCCGAGAGACAGAAATCTATCAGACAGTGCTGATGAGGCATGAAAACATTTTAGGTGAGTAAAAGCTGTATAGTAATGTTCAAGGTTCCCTAACTTTCCTCTATTTTTCTGTTAACATCTGCATATTAACTCATTTGTCTAGACCTGTTATGAAATATATAGACATTTTATTCTTGAATGAGCCCAAGAATATTATAAGCTTCTAATGAGAAACCTCATAGGAGGCATGACTAAGGCACTTCTATGATTTTTTTTTCTTCAGGGACAGGAAATGCAAATATAATAGCAGGGTTTCCTAGGGATTTGAAGAAGCACATTTGTTTTAAAATGTTGTGAATAGTTATAAGAATTGTACCTGCAGAGTTTATATTCAGGGTCTATATCAATAATTGATGTCCTTATTTTCTGAAGTTTGAAATGATCTAGTTGGATCATTCAGTAGAAAGAGTATAAGCTAATTATGGTGCATGTGCTTTGACTCAAGACCTTACTTGATTACACAAATGGCCTTATATGTAATTACAATACCACAAACTATTTACTGTTAACTTGAAAGTAATTTAAATATCAACTACTGACTAGAAAGGCTCAGGTTTTCAGTGGCAAACTCTTCATGTTTCTCTACTCCAAATGTTTGATTGCTGTGATTGGTATTAGTAAGTTAATACTGTCCTGGTAGTAATCATAAAACTGAAGGAAGTATTAAGCAAAAGACACCTAAGACAAAAAGTATGGTATTTGAGAATATGAATTATTCCTGATGATCTTTGAAAAACATTTGCTCCAAACCTTTTTGTCTTTTTTACACTTTAGGGTTCATTGCTGCAGATATCAAAGGCACAGGATCCTGGACCCAGCTATACCTAATCACAGATTATCATGAAAATGGTTCCCTCTATGATTATCTAAAATCGACCACACTAGATACTAAATCGATGCTGAAGCTAGCTTATTCTTCTGTCAGTGGCTTATGTCATTTGCACACGGAAATCTTTAGTACTCAAGGCAAACCAGCAATAGCCCATCGAGATCTGAAAAGTAAGAACATCCTGGTGAAGAAAAATGGAACTTGTTGCATAGCTGACCTGGGCCTGGCTGTTAAATTTATTAGGTCAGTATCAAAGTGAACATATACACACTTTATGATTCTTTTCTATCACATTTTACATATTATATATGTTGTAGTTCAGTGCTTCTAATATATTTAATAGAGAAGGAATTTTGACTTTTCTTTGGCGAGAAAAAGAAGAAACATTTTATTTACAACACACAGTGTTTGGATCAGGCTTAATGTTTCTCTGCTCATCCGTGACCTGGCTTCAAATGAGTGTTCACATTAAGTTCTTGGGTGTCCTGAAACTTTTTAGAAAAGAGGGAGCAAATGTCTGGAATTATGTGGTCAAAATTCTACATAATATTTCTAAGTAGGTAAAGGTTTTAGGTAATAGCTACAGATTATAAAGTGATAAAGGCAATGGTTTTTGTATGATAGTAGAAAGATATATTGCTAGGTACTCTATGAGAAATGTTGGAAACTCATAAAACATAACTAATATTCGAGACTACTATTTTGTGTTATAGAAAATAGTGAATATAACACCTGAATACATAAACTTGCATGTTATTAAACAGTGGTTTTCAGAGCCCTGGGAACTCCTTGGAATAAGGTCAGTGGCTTCATGGGGAAGAGAAATGGCCAATAGTTGGGGCTCTCTTTCTCATTCTGGTCAAAACAACTTATATTTTGCAATGACTTCATTAGATGAAATGGCTCCACTGCTTTGAAAACTAACAAGATGAATTTGCAAGCCAGTAGTATAGAGAGGTCATCATAGAATTACCTTTTTAAATGTTCACTGCAGGCTAAGCCATTATTAGACTGTTTGATCCACTCATGAGTTTTTTTCCCAATGATGAATCTGTAGAATATGGAGAAAGGCACAAAGGAAAAGTCACAGAGATGATTGCAACTCACAAGGACTGATGGATTGGTATTTTCACCCATTTAATAATAAGTCCCAAATATATGAAGGCCTTCCCATTTAGAGGATGGCAAATTAAATTTCTGATCTTTAAAAACAAAGCAGGAGAAAATGACTTGGATTGTAGACTTAAATTAGAAATGTGAACCTCCTGCCAATAAAGATTATTAAATGCTCTCCTGATTTTTTTTCTGACTACAGCCTTTTTCAAGTCTCCTCTACTAAAAATATTTTCCCACAATGCTTCTCAAATTACCAACCTCTCTCCTCTCACCTGTTAAAGTTCTCTAGCATTCCACAGTAGTCTGCTTGTACAATCCAGACCTAATGCCTTGCAGTTTGTCTTCTGCTCCATTCTCCCCTGAGAACACCATTGGTTTTTGTCACCAGAGGCCTCTCTGGTCATTCCACTATTGTAGTGCCCGCACCTATGGTGATGCACCTTTCGTTTAGGTTCATCTTCTTCCTCACCATGGCTTCTGAGCTTTCTACTCTTAAATATCATCCCACTGCTGAATTGCCTGCTGTATCTGTGTTGCCTGCCTAGTTCTCAGTTTTGGTTGATTCATTCTAAACTATGAAGTCCCTGACAATTCCTTTGTCACTAACTTTTTTGTTCAACTGAATGAATTTTGTCTCCATGATATGCCCACTTGAACTTGGTGAGTTTGGGTCGTTTATGCCATTTTCCTCCATTTTGGAGTAAAGAATTTTGTAGTTACTTCCACTTTACATTTTGTATATGCTGCTGCTGCCAGATTTATTTTCCTGAAGCATAATTTTGGACAGGAAAACAAATACATGGTTTTCAATGGCTTTGGGTGAAAATGGGGTTTCTATTCTGAACACATACTTTCTCACACCTTCAAGTGTCTTTTTTTTTTAAAGATTTATCTATTTTTATACAAGAACTGGGGTACAGGCCAGATGCGCAGGAGGGTGAGAGGATTCACTAGAGATAGAGCGGGGAACAGAACAGGCAGACTGACAAAATACATTGCTGAGGGGAGCAGTGGGCGAGACAGGAGAGGTCTGCTGCATCATGTGGGATTCTCTCCCACCTGCCAGGAACGAACTTGTGCTGCAGAGGCTGCACAGTGCAGTGCTCAACTGCCTGCACCACCAGGGAGACCTACCTTCAAGTGTCTTTAAGATGTTTTTATCTTTACCTGCATACCCAACATGCCCTTTCTGTTTGAATAAAAACTGTTTATCCTCCTGGTTTCTGCCTATATGGCAACCTCTGTTATTATTTCCTTATCAGTCTCTTAGTCCACTTATATCCTCACACATGACCCTGTGCGCCCTATCATAACATTTCTCCACAGTTGTTTAGCAGCCATTGCTACTTTACTGTAATTCCCAGTGCACCAGGTTGTTCTCAGATCACAGCCCCTGTTCCCTTTCTTGGTGCCCATGACTTTGAGTTGCTTAAAATTTTGTAAAATGGATAAATAAATGATTCCTTATGAACTGCAGGACAAAGGAATAAGGCACCTTTACATAGCTTCATATATCTTTCATAGATATCTGGATTAAATCTACCCATTCTAATTTTATATCCCATAAACTCTCCAGATGCTTTTCCATGTGTTTGTTTTGCAAATCTAAGCTACTTGTGTTTTTTTCTCTGTATTGCCTTGCTTTTGGTTGCAGTCTCTAGCTTGGAATGACATTGCTTCTTTGTATATCATAAACTAATCAAGAGTTGCCTTTAAGTCACTTTCCTCATCCGCTAGCTAAGAATAACAACATCATCTTCTCTACTCCTGTAGAAATTTCCTGACCCTTGTCAGCTTATTATTATAATGGTTTTAGTACATACCTCATCTTTCCTATCAGCCATGGACTTCTCGAAAGCTGGATTCATACCAAATTGATCTATTTACCATTTGGCATGACATAGTGAGTTACCCATTATAGGTTTTCCAATATTGTTTTGAATGAAAAAATATTGGCAATCTTAAAGTAATTGTTAACTTGTCCTTTTTTTCCCCAATTATGTTTATGGTGGTGAAGTTGGTTTACATCTTTGCATTTGCTTTGGGGGTTATAGGTTCAAAACTCTAGAATATATGTTTTCATACCATCCCCACCAGCAGTGTCCCATTATCCACCTACCATGTCATCTTCTTTATAGGCCTTAAAATAAACAAGGGAAATGTACATCTACTATGTCTCTGAAGCTTAGTTCTATTAATGCCAGGGGATTGAGCTGAATGACCTTTCAAATCTTATGCAAACCCTGATTCTAAAAAGTTGATAGGCTACTTTAAGGGATTTAGACGTTCGTTTTTGTATAAATTGACTAACTCATCAAGAAAGATGAGACACTAGCTCAGACGTGCAACTGTGATGGCTATAGCTGCAGAGCCAGTTAATCTTTCAGGGCCTCAGCTTCCTTTTCCATTCAAATGAAGTTGCATTTTATCATTTTACAGGTACTTGTGTATTTTTATTTTCTATGTTTCAAAGGAATTTCAATTTTCTGAAGTTTCAAGCCTCGCTTTTGAACCTGGATTTATGTGTTTCTTTGACTTCCACTGTTTCCCTGACTTTCCTATTTTGGGGGTCTATGCTAATACATGTGTGCTTGCACAGATACTTAGAGCATTTTATTAAAAGTGGGCTCAAAGCTAACTCCGTGTTGATTGTTCAAATTCCATATGTGAACTTGCTGTGAAAACTGAAGCATTATCAAGGTCTCTGCATGGTAAGTGTTCTCCAGGCCTTAAAAATGATTTCTGAGAGGTTTCCAGGGAAGTTGAGAGCCACAAGGAGAGCTGATTGTGCTTTAGAGATTTCCTGTTCTCTCTCTCTATGTAATATACACAGACACACACACACACACACACATACACACACACATATATATAATCTTGTATTGGTTTCTTCGTGCACTCTTTTGAAAATGATGTAAGTGCTGCTGCATTTCTTCCATAACAAAGATGTAATCCAGGTGACCTATGGCAAACATTACGGCTGCACCACATTTCTCTTGGGAGGAGGAAGCAATGACATGTGAAATCCCTTGAAGGAACTTAACAAAATTTTTCACTTTTCACTCTGGAGGATCAAGCAACCCCTTTGGTATTTCAATGTCAAAATAAAATATTTTTTTTAGAGGGAAATTAAATCCTGGCTTAGTGCCTTTCAGGTATTAAATTTTACATGGAAGACCTACAGTGAAGACTGGGTTATAGCACAGACCTCCCAGCTGATGATTTTCAAATTGTCTAAGTGCAGAGGAGAAGGAGTGACCTAAGTTAGAGAGTGCAGACTTTCCTGAGGTCTCTCTGATGTCATTATTTTCAGCATTACTACAGTTTGTATACTTAGTGATTTTCCTTTAAAAAAAAAAATGATGTGGCCAAATAACTCAGCATAATCACAGAATCCAGGTAATTAGAGGCAGAGTCAGAACCCCCAGTCAAGGTATCTACAGCCATATATACCTCTTTTGAAATTTTTGGTTCGAGTTCTGTTTCTAAGAAACATTGAGAGCTCTCAGGATTTAATTATAGAGGCTTTGGATCCTGTTGAAAAGTGCACCGAATTCCCCCTTTTTGGTTAACATCTGATCAGGCAGGATTCTGCGCAGCAAATAAGTTCCCTAGCTATTTACAAAATGCTTCAGGAAACACTGGAATGTGTACTACTCCTTTTTCTGAAGGTTCAGGAGACATTTTCCGCCTGGGGGAGGTCACTTTAGTCTTTCTTGAGAAGTGGTTTAATATTCACCAGTATATTTCATGTGTAAATTTCAGTATTATTTGTGCACCACAAGCAAAGTAATGGCCTCCCTCATATTTCTCTGTCTTCCCTTCTTTCACTGTTCTTAAAGTTCATTTCTTATTTTTAAAAACACTTTGGAGATCTATAAAAGCATGCAGTGTTCGTGTCTCTTCTTTCTCTGTTTGTTATAACCTCTTTATCTGCCCCCTTTCTTTTCGCCTTTCCTCTCTCTATTTTAGGCATGAGCAGTGTCCTGCAGAAGAGCCCCTGAATGTGTCCAAAGACTAAATGAAGTTGAGCTACCTCACTGGAGGTCCCCAAGCTGTCCTCTCACGGCCACAGTGGGCTTTTCATGTGACTTTCATGAAATTCTCCCTTTGGTTGCTGGTGCACT